TTTCCTCCTGCCACCCGGACAAGAACGTGTCCATACGATCAAGTCACGAGACATTCTAGATGGTGACGCTGTGGTTGTTCCTTGCCAGCGCTGCATTTTTCGAGGGATCACCATCGCATCTTGTTTAGTGCGGTTCTCCCGTGGTTATGCAAACATCACGACCTGCAACACGACGCCAGAACCACTTCTTTTGCCAAAGGGGACCACTGTTGCCAGCATTACCCAAGAAGCACCGCTTTGTGTCGTCACTGGTTCATCTGCTTCGTCATTCTCAAAGTGTATGCCAGCAGAAGATGCATTTCCTGCTCTCAAGGCCACTTTGTGTGAACATCTCAACCCAACGCAAACTGATGCCTTGCTAGCGTTATTAATGAAGCACAAAGCTTGCTTTGACGTTTGTTCCGAAGGTCTGGGTCAAACAACAGTGACCGCCCATCGTATCGACATTGACGGATCCCGTGTGATTCGCCGCCGCCCTTACCGTGTGTCGGCTTCTGAACACAAGTTTATAGGCTTCTGAACACAAGTTTATAGAAGAACAAGTCAACGACATTCTCGCGCGCAACATCATCAGGCCTTCGACAAGCGCATGGTCTTCTCCTGTCGTACTAGTGAAAAAAAAGGATGGCTCGGTACGGTTTTGCATTGATTACAGATCACTCAACAAAATCACTCGTAAGGACGTCTACCCAATGCCTCGCACTGACGACGCTCTTGATACTTTACAAGGTGCCAAGTACTTTTCTAGTCTCAACTTGCGCTCCGGTTATTGGCAAATTCCAATGCACGAGTCTGATAAAGAGAAGAGTGCGTTTGCTACGCCAGATGGGCTCTTTGAATTCAATGTGATGCCTTTCGGCCTGTGCAATGCCCCAGCCACATTCGAACGGATGATAGACACGGTACTGCGGGGATTAAAATGGAAGACCTGCCTTTGCTACCTGGACGACATTGTCATCTTTTCGTCCAGCTTCTCACAGCACCTGGAACGGCTAGACGAAGTCCTCACGTGTTTAGCTAAGGCCGGTCTCCAGCTCAACACTAAGAAGTGTCGGTTTGCCAGTCACAGCATCAAGGTATTAGGTCACGTCGTCAGTAAACATGGCGTTGAGCCCGATCCCGACAAGGTTACCGCGGTACTGCACTTTCCTACATCAACCGCACAGAAAGACCTCCGTAGCTTCCTTGGCTTAGCGTCGTATTTCCGCCGCTTTGTACGTGATTTCGCTACTATTGCGGCTCCTCTGCACAAACTTCTGACCACGAGCGCACCCTTTGTCTGGTCGGATGACTGCGAAGCCGTACTCTGTCACCTGCTGAGCGAAATTACAGCATCACTGAGCAAGAATGTCTCGCCATCGTGTGGTCCGTACAAAAGTTTCGTCCTTATTTATACGGCCGGCATTTCACAATAGTGACTGACCATCATGCTCTGTGTTGGTTATCCTCTCTCAAAAGTTTGTCGGGACGCCTTGGCCGTTGGGTACTACGATTGCAAGAGTATGACTACAGCGTCACATATAGGTCGGGCCGAGAGCACCAAGATGCCGACGCTTTATCCCGTTGCCCGCTCTCGCAAAGCGCCGAAGTGTCACCTTCCATCTGTTCGTCACCACACACCAAAGTGACCAAACAGACGGCTGCTGCTTCGAAACAGTTAGTTGCCTCGGTGGACCTTCTTTCGTCCACAGATCTCGCCTCGCTCCAACATGCCGATACCTACTGCCACACAATCATCGATCGGCTCACTGGCTTATCGCGTGCTCCAAACAGCCGCCTAAGACGACAACTTGCCCGTTTCAAGCTTCGAGAGGGAACATTATGTCGGCAAATTTACCATCCTCTCGGTAACCAATGGGTTCCCGTCATTTCTCGCTCACTTCGTCTGGAAGTTCTACAAGCATTTCATGACGATGCGACAGCTGACCACTTAGGGTTCCACAAGACCTACGACCACCTCAAGACTCGCTGCTGTGGCCTGGCCTCTCCACTTCTGTCGCCAAGTACGTCGCTTCCTGCGCGTCATGCCAGCACCGAAAACGTACTACGTATCTTCCCGCGGGGCCATTGCAACCACTGCCGTGTCCGTCCACTCCCTTTGAATTTGTGGGCATAGACTTATACGGACCTCTTCCGCTTATGCCAGCCGGTCACCGTTGGATTGTTACTGCCGTAGACCACCTTACTCGCTACGCGGAGACGGCAGCTCTTTCATCTGGTGCTACCTCTGAAGTAGCCGATTTTTTCCTTCGCGCCATTATTTTACGACATGGCGCACCGCGTGTTCTCCTTAGTGACCGTGGCAAGACATTTCTTTTACATGTCCTTGCTGAAGTCTTACAGGCCTCTAACACCATCCACAAGGTCACATCAGCGTATCACCCAGAAACTAATGGTCTGACTGAGCGTTTTCACCGAACTTTGTCCGACATGATCTCTATGTACGTGCAACCGGATCACAAAAACTGGGACACAATACTTCTTTTCGTCACGTTCACATATAACACTGCCATACAGCGTACGACGAATTTCAGCCCTTTTTTTCTCGTGTATGACCGCATACCGACTTTTGTTCTGGACACCACCTTTTTGCCCACATCTTCCAATCCATTTTCATCTCTCCCGGAAGAGTTCGCCGCTCGCGTCACCCGCTGCCGTGAAATCGCCCGCGCCAACACTGCTACCATTCCGGACAAGAAAAAAATCGACATTGATGCAAAGCGTCGAGTTGTGTTCCGCCCAGGTGACGAAGTCCTTTTGTGGACACCTGTTCGTGTACCTGGGCTCTGCGAGAAATTCCTCCACCGATATCTCAGTCCATACACCGTCCTGGAACGAACATCTGAAGTCAACTATCGCGCTGCTCCTGTCAACGCGGCTCCTGATCACCGTCGCCGCCACACCGAGATCGCCCACGTCTCTCGACTGAAACGATATATTCGGCGTCCCAACCCTTTCTAACTTGCTGCCCTCTTTCGCGAAGGGGGGAAAATAGTGTGAGCGCTGAATATGTACTTCATCTTCATCTGTATGACCAAACCATTGTAGTGATCATCATCGTGGGTCACGCGGGCTGGCTCTCTGGCTCGTGCGTCTGGATTAAAAAGATAACCTGGTAGCTGCCGTACCGGACGTGGTCTCAATATATATATATATATATATATATATATATATATATATATATATATATATATATATATATATATATATATATATATATATATATATATATATATATATATATATATATATATATATATATATATATATATATATATATATATATATATAATATATATATATATATATATATATATATATATATATATATATATATATATATATAATATATATATATATATATATATATATATATATATATATACAGTAGAAATATCAGCCGTCATGCAGACACTGCGGAATCAGGGCGTCGATAAAGCATATATAAACATGCTGGAAGAAATCTACAGGGGGTCAACTGCTACCATAGTGCTTCATAAAGAAAGCAACAGAATACCAATCAAGAAGGGTGTAAGGCAGGGGGACACAATCTCCCCAATTCTATTTACCGCGTGCTTACAGGAGGTTTTCAGAAGCCTAGAATGGGAACAGTTAGGGATAAGAGTTAATGGAGAGTACCTTAGTAACCTGCGCTTCGCCGATGACATTGCATTGCTGAGTAACTCAGGGGACGAATTGCAACTTATGAATACGGAGTTAGACAAGGAGAGCAGAAAGGTGGGTCTTAAAATGAATCTGCAGAAAACGAAAGTAATGTACAACAACCTCGCAAAAGAGCAGTGCTTCGAGATAGGTAATAGTGCACTTGAAGTTGTAAAAGACTATGTCTACTTATTGCAGGTAATAACCGCAGAGCCTAACCACGAGATTGAAGTAACTAGAAGAATAAGAATGGGGTGGAGCACATTCGGCAAGCACACTCAAATTATGACAGGTAGATTGCCACTATCCCTCAAGAGGAAGGTATATAACAGCTGCATCTTGCCGGTACTTAGCTACGGAGCAGAAACCTGGAGACTTACAAAGAGGGTTCAGCTTAAATTGAGGACGACGCAGCGAGCAATGGAAAGAAAAATGGTAGGGGTAAACTTAAGAGGCAAGAAGAGAGCAGAGTGGATTAGGGAACAAACGGGGGTTAAGGATATCATAGCTGAAATCAAGAAGAAGAAATGGACATGGGCCGGGCATGTAGCGCGTAGACAGGATAACCGCTGGTCGTTAAGGGTAACTGACTGGATTCCCAGAGAAGGCAAGCGGGTCAGGGGGAGACAGGAGGTTAGGTGGGCAGATGATATTAAGAAGTTTGCGGGTATAAATTGGCAGCAGCAGGCACAGGACCGGGTTAACTGGCGGAACATGGGAGAGGCCTTTGTCCTGCAGTGGACGTAGTCAGACTGATGATGATGATATATATATATATATATATATATATATATATATATATATATATATATATATATATATATATATATATATATATATATGTGTGTGTGTGTGTGTGTGTGTGTGTGTGTGTGTGTGTGTGTGTGTGTGTGTGTGTGTGTGTGTGTGTGTGTGTGACGGTGGCAGTGCACCTTGCCTGGTTTTGCACTGCCACCGTCATCGGCTCACCTTCACCTATGACAAGTAGTGGTGTCATTCGATGACGTCACCATGTGACATCACCTATTTGGTGTCGTACTCAAGCCACGAATTTTCGCTATCTGTGTCGCTATAACGCGAATATTTTTTTTTGCATCACCCATCTTGACGCCGCCTACATCGATAGTTATATTTAGCGTTTGATGAGGCACGTAAGGCTTTCGGCTTAATAAATAATCAGCATGACGAACCCGGTCTCTTAATTTTAACGGGGACAAACACACTAAAGAAGTAACAGGGATCAACAGGAGTATGTGACAACAAAAGCAATTCTATGTCACTTCCCGTGTTGCCACAGGCGCACCAATGTATCTCGCACGTGTAGAGAGGTATCCCACCTTATCTTATCTACCATCTCCTCGACGAGTAGGCAACCCAAGGCGACGCTCCTTTTGTTGCCGTACGCGTCCTCCTCGTAGTCGTCCAGGTCTTCGGCGTACTCCAGCAGGTCGAGGTCTTGCTTGTCGAAGAGGTAACAGAAGGGAGACCAGCCGTGGATGGCCACTTCGAAGGCACACACTTTGGCCATTAGCCGGACGTCGTCTGGAAGAGAGTCAAGGTCCTGAATACGAAACTATGCACTTCTCCGACATGTGACGATGCGATCTGCCACTCCTCGCAGCAAAAAGCGCATGAACGTGTAATTGAATGAAAAGAAAGAAAACTTGCACCCAGTCTCCATCAGCTACATGTGTTTTCTCATAAAAGAATACTTACTGCTAAATTCAGGACAGAATTCAAAAAGGTCCGTTATGCATTCGCCCGAGACGACTTGAAGGGGACATTCATCTTCTTCACTTTTTTTTTCTACTAAGTCAATGTACCGCTCCCTCACAGACATCCTCTTCTGAAAGCACTCGGTACCTGAAGTCGTTTCTCTCTGCCTCCAAGATCAGTGTCATTGCTAGATTTCTGCGTTTCGCTCGTCTTTCAGTACCTCCATATGAGTGGCCTTGCTTTGACCTAGCTTGATTGATTGATTGATTGATTGATTGATCGATTGATTGATTGATCGGTTTCTGGGGTTTAACGTCCCAAAACCACCAAATGATTATGAGAGACGCCGTAGTGGAGGGCTCCGGAAATTTCTACCACCTGGGGATCTCCAACGCGCACCCAAACCTGAGCGCACGGACCTACAGCATTTTCTCCTCCATCTAATATTCAGCCGCCGCAGTATAAATTCGATCCCGAGACCTGCGGGTCAGTAGCCGAGTACCTCAGCCACTAGACCACCGCGGAGAGGTGCCTTTGAACGACCGGCTATATCATGTGGTGGCGCCATTATTTGACGTCACATTGTGAGACGTAATAATTACCTCATGATGACGTCACAAACTTTAATGGCATGTGACGTCGTGATGTCGTTTCGGGGCGTAATGGCAGAATAATTGTTTTGCATCGCTCGTGCTGACTCTTCTTAAGTCGAAATCTACCGTTTGGTGAAGCATCTAATGATTTCGCCTCAATATAATACCTCCATCAGTGTTAAACATCCTTTATGTGTAGGCCATTGTCCTTTTTTTGGTTTCGAAAAGTTCGTGCGATGGAATATGGAGCGAAAGATATATATGGAAGTCTGTTGCCGCAACATACATAAACAGTACGCCGTGTTAAGGGCCGCGTTGTACGCGACAAACAACGAACAAAATACAGTCGAACCTAATGAAACGTTGACTCCCAGTCTCCTCGACATAGCCTGGATCATTTGCTGTACCTTCTCACTCTCGAGAAATGTATTCTCTTCCTGTGATTCCGTTTTGTTCACACCTTGTTTCTGCGTAAAAAGAACAAAGCATCACCAAATATTTTTCATATGTTTCGCTCAGGACATTACGACATTAGAAGTGGATGGTTCGTAAACATTTCGTTTGTTTTAGTATTAGATGTTCCCCGAAAAAAATTAGCCTTTGTTTTTGTTCAATTTAAATTACATCGGTGGCCAGACTATGAGTCGATTAATTCATTCGCACTTTACGCTAAGCACTCTGCATCAAAGATCACAGTGGCGCTTGAAAGAGCATAAGGGCTTTTACATGAGGCCACCCTTTTTTTCAATTCTTTTACCGAGAATTCGATGCAAAGTAATACTTATTGTTCGACAGGCTCGTTCCTACAAACGACTCCTCATTTTATTAGGGTGAAATTTTTAGTTTCTTGATCAAACTTCGCGTAAAACGCATAGTGTAATAGGGATTATCCACTTATACTGACGATAAAACAAACCTTTGCAAGATCTAGGAGCATTTCAGATATATGCTTAAAAATGAATAAAAAAATAAAAATGCTGCTCATTATCACAAAAAAGTTGAAAACACTTCTGTGAGGAAACGTTCTTTCAGGGATCTTTTTTTCATAACTTGAAGCAAATTTGTCTAGTTTTAGACGACTAATATCGCGCTGAACTTATTTATTTAAGTGAAGTTTACATGATGAGTTACCTCCAACATATCCTCGCATGTGCTTTGGAAAGCCAACATGTCGTCGTCCGTGACCAAGGCCCGTTCTCTCTTGAATTTATTTAACTCTGTGATGCATAAAATGAGAAAATGAATTGGGAGTACGTTGAGATTTATATACAGGTCAAACCGAGCTGAACATAATTTGATATGTTATACTGTTCGTAACACTAACAGTACGGATTTATGCATCATGTATTTAGTTTAAAAGCAGGGTAAGTAGGAGTAATGTGTTGAGGAAAAAAACGTATGAATACTGAGGCACCTGCACGGGGTATCACTTCCAGTGCAAAACCGAAATAAAAACAGCCATGCTGTCACAGGTCCCGTTAATTAGGGAGGCGATCGCCAAGGACCGAAGTATCGGCCCCCCGAACCGCACCACGAAAGCGTGGACAATTTAGAAGTGGTCCTATTTGGCGCGCCAGCGGACGCCGGCTGTGGCCCAAAGAAAAAGTCAGAGCCGAGAATTGATAAACAAAACAAAATTATATTCTCAATTATGGCAGATCAAAACAATACACAAGTATGCACACTCCACACTGACTACAATATGTCACCAATCAAACAACGTACTATACAGTACAATCGGCCACACTCGAAACAACGGACACAGACAACAATACGCACTACAATGCAGTCGCATGCATCGAACAACCAAGACACTTAAAGACTAGAGATAGAAAACTTGTTCAGTCCAAACTTCTTGGAACAAAAGTCTGAATGATACTCTTCCGAGAATCACTCACTCAAAGTCCAGTGTTGTTGTCGCTCCCCTGCCCCCGAAGTTTCTCTTCCAGGAAACCTCGCGTCTTCAATTGGCCACTCTCTAAGCTTCAAACCTCTTCGCCGGAAACACGTCGGCTTCACACACGCAGCTGTTGCCACGTGTCTTCGCTCGATAGCGGTAGACACACACTCTTGCCTGTAGCTCGAGCCTTTCCCCCACAGGCGGAAATCCTCTTCTTCTCCACTTCCTTCTTCTCCTCCTTTGTCACGGAAGACAAAAGGCTTCGCCCACAAGGCGGTCCACCCACAAGGCGGTCCACCCTACGCACTCTGGCGCATACTTTCTTCTTCTTCTGATTTGTCACTAAGGACAAAACCTTCACCGACAGACGCGGCGGGATACCCTACGCACTCTGGCGTTTACTTCCTTATTCTCCTGTTTTGTCACTGAGGACAAAACCTTCGCCGACGACACGGCGGAACACCCTACGCACTCCGGCGCGAAATTCCTTCTTCTGCTGATCTCCCATCTCCGCTGCTCGGTTAAATACCTTCCGCGCGCGATTCCAGAAAATTCTCATCATTTCGTCGGCGCGATGCGCAGCGAAGGCTGGGGAGAGGGCGAGACGGTTCGAAGGCCGTCCCCGACGGACGACGCAACCCGGCATCCCCACGCCCCTTTCCATCTAGAAATTTTCAGGGCTTGCTCGGCCGCCGATGTGGGGTGAGGAGGTTCGTCGGCGAACCTACGCTTCCGAGAGGGTAGAGGGACGCGCGCCCGGGGAGTCTTTGGATGCTTGTTTTCTTTTTTTTTATCGTTGATCTCTCGGTGCTTCGTCGCGAGAATTTGGCGGCGCGCCCTTTTTTGAGCGCTCGGTTTGTGACATGCAGGCACGAAAAGAAACAGGGGCAGTTAGGACGCTGGCATTTATATTGTCCCTTCTTCCGATGTTTGCGTATATTTCCGTTTTCCTATTTTGCTTGTGTGTTGGAAATGCATAATAATTCAGTACGCCAACTGAGAAGAAACGTGTCTAACGAGGGTCAGCGCCGGTTGGAAGAGTAGGGGCAGCTGTCCCTTCGTAAATACTTGGTTGCCTTAGGGCTCGTTCTTTCCGTCACTGTGACGTCACTGGTTTTTGTCAGAGGAGAGGATTTCCGACACATTTTCTCTGCAAAAACGGGGTGATGGTGACGTAGAGCGATGCTCTAAGTTTCTGTCGCCAGCGCGGGGACGGAGCCGCACTCCTCATGGTTCCCCCTCGGAGCAGCTGACGAGCAGAAGAAATAGGGACTCGTGTACAAAAATGTGGTGCTGTCACCCTTGCAACCACTGCCGTCTGTCCGTACACAGCTCCGTCGCGTATTCTCTACATTTTTTTTTGACGTCACATAACGTCACGGGTCGTTTGACAGCTGTGAAGACGAGGCCTCACACTTTGGCTCTTTTATGTCAGTGAGCCTTCGATAGGGGCTCGCTGGCATTGATGTAATGGGGGGTCTGCCCATAGGACCCGAGCCACCCAAAGTCTCGGGGAGATGTCGAGGGGAGTAGCCGGAGCTGTTAACAGAAGCGTTTATTTACATGATATACAGGTTGAAGGTATGTAGCGCGATTACATCATGTGGGTAGAGTCATAGAAGCTCTCGATAGAAGCTGGATTGGAGCTTGTCTTTATGCTCTGGTCTTTCCAAGATTCCCTGCCGGGAAAAACAATTGAGGCCAGGACAATCCAATGAAACTCTCGTCCTCACCTCCGCCCTCAAAATGGGAAGGTGAAACAGCACCTTCTTCCCAACCCAGGAAAGAGGGAAGAGGCATGCCGAGTTCGTCTTATAGCGAGAGGGAAAACACAAGATGCGCACGACACAGCAGTGTGTGAAGACGTTGGGTCCTACGTACGTGCAGATGGACTGTGTGGTCAGGGGCACAGTGGTGACTCATCAATGTGGTCAGCGGCACCGGGCAGACCACGGATTCTGAAAAACTGTCCCCACGAAGGCACCACGTAGATTGTGGTAAACGTATCCGCAGACGAAACCCAGACGCAAGGGTCAATTGTTCGACATATTGAGCGCTAAGAGACAGGGACAGGAGAGAGTGGACACCACAATGCGCTAACTTCAACAATTTTTATTTTCAGGAAACGCGAACCTATAAATCCGTGTACAGTGGCGCCACCAGTCTAACCACTAGCCCAGCAGAAAAGCCCTTTCTCGATCTAACAAGTCAACTGACGGTGCACTTACACATGCGTCACCTTTGCGAAAGATAGCATGGGCTTCAATTATCTCTCGCACGTCTTTATCTTTATGCTTCGCCAGAACACTGCAGGATGCGTACAAGGGTGTGCAACCACATTCCACGCAATGTACTGACAAATGGCCATAATTATTCTTGTTTTTAACATTGAGCTTATGTTCACGAAGACGGTCATTAAGGCATCTACCCGTCTGACCTATACATATACCACCACAAGTCAGAGGAAGCCCATAAACTACCCCTTCAACACACGCCACAAAATGATCGCGATGCTTCTTGGAGCAACCGACAGCAGGCTTGCGGTGCGGGTCCGTCAAGCGACTTATCCTGCCAAGCTTTTGTGGTGCTGAGAATACTACTTTAATGCCCACTCGACTAGCTACTTTCTTCAGGTTATGAGCAGTTTTGTGCAGGTACGGCACTACTGCAACTCTGCTCCTACTCACTGCCGGTTGGATGTCTGCTTCCCGAGGGCGACTGTCCAACCGGCATTTTTTAAGCAAACCCTCGACAACAGACACCTGTATCGACTCTGGGAAACCTGCTGCGGATAACCTCTCCGACTGACTCATGACACTTTTCTGAATTTTATGATGGCAAGACTTCCGCAATGCGTTCCCAAAACACAGATTGGCAATGCTTCTTTTTACTAGCTTCGAATGAGCAGATTGGTATGGCAACAGGGGCTTATTAGCTCTGGGCTTGTATTCCCAACACGTGTGCTGCTGCTTGAATTCCAATTCAATGTCTAAAAACCGCAGCACGCTATCGGTTGGCTCTTCTACTGTAATAACGAGTGGGCTAAGGCAAGCAGAAAAAACAGCTTCGAGTTGACTTACTGCTACGTTTTCTTCACGCTCGAACAAGACAAGGTAATCGTCCACGTATCTCACAACTTTTGCCACCCTGTGCTGTGACAAGACATGTGCCAGATTTCTATCATGGTGGGCCAGAAAAATGTCACTCAGTACCGGCGCCAAACAGGAGCCGATACAGATGCCCTGCTTCTGAAGGAAAGTTTTTCCATTCCACGTGGCAAATGTCGAGCGGAGATATAAGCGAAGCAAGTCTAAAAAGCATTGAACCGAAATCTCGGCTGAGTTTTGAAACGCAACCACACCAAAGCTGTCAATACATTCTTCCACGCGCTCGATTAGTTCATTTTGAGGCAAAGAATAATATAAATCTTTTATGTCAAAGGAGCAGGCGAAAAAACCTTTGTCTGGGTTACTCTTCAGGAAATCTAATATTTCCCCGGAATGCCTAATCAAAAAGGGGTCGTCAATTTTAAGAATACCGAGCCTTTCTTGCAAGAAAAGGGCTAGGTTCTTCTGCCATGACCCTATTTCCGAAACTATTACCCTCAATGGCCATTCAGGCTTGTGCGTTTTCGCGCTAAACATAATATCAAGGCTATCTTTCTTGGCTGCGTCAATATTGTGAAACAATCTACTCAGGCCCAAATTTTTACAGAGACGTTTTGTTTCAAGTTTTACCTTCCTAAGAGACACATTATTGCACTCATTAAAAACTTTGGCAACTGCAGAACAGGCTCTCTCGTCATAGTCACCTTCCCCTAGGACAACAAATCCGCCCTCCTTATCCGCTGGCAGAACGCACAGTCGCTTCTGCTTCAAGAACGACACAACACGGCTTACAGGCACCCGTGAAGCCCCAATATTCTTCCGCGAGATCACATCAACCCCTTCCGATATACATCGATTCGCTTCACCTTCCGGGGCACACTTTGATATCCGTCGCACAAGGCTCAAAAGTTCCGGCGCACTCAACCGTGGCTCGACGGCGAACTTAGGTCCAAGTTTAAGAGCATTTTCAACGTAGTCTGGAAGACTAACCTGGCCGGTGGTTCTGACGCTGCATGTGGTTGGAACTGTCTTCTTTGGGATGCTGGCACGTAAGCCTGGCAGAGTCTGCTTCCACATGAATTCCGTGCCGCTGCTGACGATCGCTAGAAGATTCTTCCACTCCCTGGTGGCATGTCGTGTCCTTCCTGGATCTTCCAAGGAGGTCTTGAGCAGGTCCTTTAACATCCGAGCCTGCCTGTGCCACTCACTCCTAAGAATCTTGAGGACTCTGATGCCATGCCCGGCTGAAGGAGCGAGTCCACCAAACAACCGCACGACTTCATCCGGTAGGTGCTTGCAGCGAATGAAGAAGGAAAGGGAGCGAGCTTGGCAGTTGGCATGAATCAAGAGGGGAGCAACTGAACACGGATTGTACGAAGAACACAGAAAAGAGCCCGATGTACTAGAAATAAATTTTAGCAGTGCCATTTTTTGGGCGTGTTGGTAAAGGGAGCTTGACGACATATTGAGCGCTAAGAGACAGGGACAGGAGAGAGTGGACACCACAATGCGCTAACTTCAACAATTTTTATTTTCAGGAAACGCGAACCTATAAATCCGTGTACAGTGGCGCCACCAGTCTAACCACTAGCCCAGCAGAAAAGCCCTTTCTCGATCTAACAAGTCAACTGACGGTGCACTTACACATGCGTCACCTTTGCGAAAGATAGCATGGGCTTCAATTATCTCTCGCACGTCTTTATCTTTATGCTTCGCCAGAACACTGCAGGATGCGTACAAGGGTGTGCAACCACATTCCACGCAATGTACTGACAAATGGCCATAATTATTCTTGTTTTTAACATTGAGCTTATGTTCACGAAGACGGTCATTAAGGCATCTACCCGTCTGACCTATACATATACCACCACAAGTCAGAGGAAGCCCATAAACTACCCCTTCAACACACGCCACAAAATGATCGCGATGCTTCTTGGAGCAACCGACAGCAGGCTTGCGGTGCGGGTCCGTCAAGCGACTTATCCTGCCAAGCTTTTGTGGTGCTGAGAATACTACTTTAATGCCCACTCGACTAGCTACTTTCTTCAGGTTATGAGCAGTTTTGTGCAGGTACGGCACTACTGCAACTCTGCTCCTACTCACTGCAGTAGTGCCGTACCTGCACAAAACTGCTCATAACCTGAAGAAAGTAGCTAGTCGAGTGGGCATTAAAGTAGTATTCTCAGCACCACAAAAGCTTGGCAGGATAAGTCGCTTGACGGACCCGCACCGCAAGCCTGCTGTCGGTTGCTCCAAGAAGCATCGCGATCATTTTGTGGCGTGTGTTGAAGGGGTAGTTTATGGGCTTCCTCTGACTTGTGGTGGTATATGTATAGGTCAGACGGGTAGATGCCTTAATGACCGTCTTCGTGAACATAAGCTCAATGTTAAAAACAAGAATAATTATGGCCATTTGTCAGTACATTGCGTGGAATGTGGTTGCACACCCTTGTACGCATCCTGCAGTGTTCTGGCGAAGCATAAAGATAAAGACGTGCGAGAGATAATTGAAGCCCATGCTATCTTTCGCAAAGGTGACGCATGTGTAAGTGCACCGTCAGTTGACTTGTTAGATCGAGAAAGGGCTTTTCTGCTGGGCTAGTGGTTAGACTGGTGGCGCCACTGTACACGGATTTATAGGTTCGCGTTTCCTGAAAATAAAAATTGTTGAAGTTAGCGCATTGTGGTGTCCACTCTCTCCTGTCCCTGTCTCTTAGCGCTCAATATGTCGTCAAGCTCCCTTTACCAACACGCCCAAAAAATGGCACTGCTAAAATTTATTTCTAGTACATCGGGCTCTTTTCTGTGTTCTTCGTACAATCCGTGTTCAGTTGCTCCCCTCTTGATTCATGCCAACTGCCAAGCTCGCTCCCTTTCCTTCTTCATTCGCTGCAAGCACCTACCGGATGAAGTCGTGCGGTTGTTTGGTGGACTCGCTCCTTCAGCCGGGCATGGCATCAGAGTCCTCAAGATTCTTAGGAGTGAGTGGCACAGGCAGGCTCGGATGTTAAAGGACCTGCTCAAGACCTCCTTGGAAGATCCAGGAAGGACACGACATGCCACCAGGGAGTGGAAGAATCTTCTAGCGATCGTCAGCAGCGGCACGGAATTCATGTGGAAGCAGACTCTGCCAGGCTTACGTGCCAGCATCCCAAAGAAGACAGTTCCAACCACATGCAGCGTCAGAACCACCGGCCAGGTTAGTCTTCCAGACTACGTTGAAAATGCTCTTAAACTTGGACCTAAGTTCGCCGTCGAGCCACGGTTGAGTGCGCCGGAACTTTTGAGCCTTGTGCGACGGATATCAAAGTGTGCCCCGGAAGGTGAAGCGAATCGATGTATATCGGAAGGGGTTGATGTGATCTCGCGGAAGAATATTGGGGCTTCACGGGTGCCTGTAAGCCGTGTTGTGTCGTTCTTGAAGCAGAAGCGACTGTGCGTTCTGCCAGCGGATAAGGAGGGCGGATTTGTTGTCCTAGGGGAAGGTGACTATGACGAGAGAGCCTGTTCTGCAGTTGCCAAAGTTTTTAATGAGTGCAATAATGTGTCTCTTAGGAAGGTAAAACTTGAAACAAAACGTCTCTGTAAAAATTTGGGCCTGAGTAGATTGTTTCACAATATTGACGCAGCCAAGAAAGATAGCCTTGATATTATGTTTAGCGCGAAAACGCACAAGCCTGAATGGCCATTGAGGGTAATAGTTTCGGAAATAGGGTCATGGCAGAAGAACCTAGCCCTTTTCTTGCAAGAAAGGCTCGGTATTCTTAAAATTGACGACCCCTTTTTGATTAGGCATTCCGGGGAAATATTAGATTTCCTGAAGAGTAACCCAGACAAAGGTTTTTTCGCCTGCTCCTTTGACATAAAAGATTTATATTATTCTTTGCCTCAAAATGAACTAATCGAGCGCGTGGAAGAATGTATTGACAGCTTTGGTGTGGTTGCGTTTCAAAACTCAGCCGAGATTTCGGTTCAATGCTTTTTAGACTTGCTTCGCTTATATCTCCGCTCGACATTTGCCACGTGGAATGGAAAAACTTTCCTTCAGAAGCAGGGCATCTGTATCGGCTCCTGTTTGGCGCCGGTACTGAGTGACATTTTTCTGGCCCACCATGATAGAAATCTGGCACATGTCTTGTCACAGCACAGGGTGGCAAAAGTTGTGAGATACGTGGACGATTACCTTGTCTTGTTCGAGCGTGAAGAAAACGTAGCAGTAAGTCAACTCGAAGCTGTTTTTTCTGCTTGCCTTAGCCCACTCGTTATTACAGTAGAAGAGCCAACCGATAGCGTGCTGCGGTTTTTAGACATTGAATTGGAATTCAAGCAGCAGCACACGTGTTGGGAATACAAGCCCAGAGCTAATAAGCCCCTGTTGCCATACCAATCTGCTCATTCGAAGCTAGTAAAAAGAAGCATTGCCAATCTGTGTTTTGGGAACGCATTGCGGAAGTCTTGCCATCATAAAATTCAGAAAAGTGTCATGAGTCAGTCGGAGAGGTTATCCGCAGCAGGTTTCCCAGAGTCGATACAGGTGTCTGTTGTCGAGGGTTTGCTTAAAAAATGCCGGTTGGACAGTCGCCCTCGGGAAGCAGACATCCAACCGGCAGTGAGTAGGAGCAGAGTTGCAGTAGTGCCGTACCTGCACAAAACTGCTCATAACCTGAAGAAAGTAGCTAGTCGAGTGGGCATTAAAGTAGTATTCTCAGCACCACAAAAGCTTGGCAGGATAAGTCGCTTGACGGACCCGCACCGCAAGCCTGCTGTCGGTTGCTCCAAGAAGCATCGCGATCATTTTGTGGCGTGTGTTGAAGGGGTAGTTTATGGGCTTCCTCTGACTTGTGGTGGTATATGTATAGGTCAGACGGGTAGATGCCTTAATGACCGTCTTCGTGAACATAAGCTCAATGTTAAAAACAAGAATAATTATGGCCATTTGTCAGTACATTGCGTGGAATGTGGTTGCACACCCTTGTACGCATCCTGCAGTGTTCTGGCGAAGCATAAAGATAAAGACGTGCGAGAGATAATTGAAGCCCATGCTATCTTTCGCAAAGGTGACGCATGTGTAAGTGCACCGTCAGTTGACTTGTTAGATCGAGAAAGGGCTTTTCTGCTGGGCTAGTGGTTAGACTGGTGGCGCCACTGTACACGGATTTATAGGTTCGCGTTTCCTGAAAATAAAAATTGTTGAAGTTAGCGCATTGTGGTGTCCACTCTCTCCTGTCCCTGTCTCTTAGCGCTCAATATGTCGTCAAGCTCCCTTTACCAACACGCCCAAAAAATGGCACTGTCAATTGTTCGGCGCGTCGCGGAGCATGTCGAACAAAGCAAGCAGCCTCGACTGCCTACAGCGCTTCCTAAGCCGTCACTCGGTCGAGCATGTTCAAAGGGTTGTGCAAGGGGCGCCGACGGCCCTGGACGAATTCGAAGAACGACTTTCGTGTTGTCCCCACTTTCGGCGTACCTCTGGAAGCTGTGACCGGATGAAATCAGGGTAGGACTCAGCCGCCATGTCTCACGCGTTCAAGCGGCGCCGAGCCAGGCAGATCCATCATAACATCATGGCATCGTTCTTCTCAGTCCGCGCTAAAATTACTGCACACGTGCAAATCGAAAAGACACACATCTTCGCCCACATGGTGCACATCTGTCTTCTCGTTTTGTACTTGCGTGTCCTTTTAGCTCAGCAAAAGGACAACTCGTTATTTTATTCCTGGCTTGCCCGTGTGTGACTCTATAAAGAAGTGTGGCAGCTTGGGCTAGTTGATATGGCATGACGATAGTTATAGCGCGAGAACAAAATGACGACACAGAGACAAGAAGGACACGAGCGCTAACTTCCAAGTCTTGGAAGTTAGCACTCGTGTCCTTCGTGTCCTTCTTGTCTCTGTGTCGCCGTTTTGTTCTCGTGCTATAGCTATCGTCTATTAAAGACTCGTGATCGAACTCTTCAGATGATTATACTCTCTTAAGAAAGTAGTTGGGCCCAGAAGACAGTTAACGTGTGCCTTTAAATCAAGAGAGTCCTATACGTAGCATATTGGCATGAGAAACGCGTACTTTTTTTTCTTTGTGGGCAGGGCAGCCAAGCACCCCTTATACGCTTTCGAGGACGTTCAAAAAATCGTTAGTGTGCTCATGTACGAAATCCATGTACATAAGGCGCTTCGAGCTCCTGCCTACCTTTCCGGTTGAGCACTGCCTTCAAGAAAGCGTACGCCGTGTCCTGGGTCCTGTTCTTGCTCGTCGCCCGGACGAAGTACTCGTCCTGGTAAAAACGTGATGGCAGCAGGCCAGGGAACATCCCTTGAAACCTAGAGGCTGCAAGGCGTTTAATGAATTACAAAGTACGACGTGATGGAAAGACCTTTGAACATAACTAGTCAAATTTCGACAAGTGTTCTAGTTCTTCTTCAAGGTTTCGACTACGTTTACCTTTAACAAGTAAAGAAAGTTAGTTCGGCGGAGACCCACAGGGTGACGGAAAGGTTAAGAAAGAGAAAATAAACAGCCACGCGTTTGTGGCTTGCTTGTCACGAAGGAAAAGTCTCTTGGAAAAGCCTCTCGGACCAAGACGAATTTTTCGGTAACTATATATGAGAGGCTTTTCTTTATAAGAAATCTGTAAGGCCACCCTCGTGGCTTCGTACCACAAACGGGTGGTTGTTCATTTTTCCCTCCTTTACGTATACCTTAGTGTGTTTACGTGTGTACTGAAACCACTTTCATCTAACCACAAAGGCGTAAAAGAAGAGGACGGCAGAAGAAAGCACCGGAGTACACTCTTTTTTTCCCCTCACCTCCTTCCCTCGCATCATTACTCTCCTTGTTATCTAATAACGTAGCGCGTTAAAAACTGAGACACATGACAAGGGAAGGGACAAAAAAGGAGTGCTCCTATTTTGTCCCTTCTCTTGTCATGTGTCTCAGTTTTTACGCGATTCGTTATTAGTTATGTATTACCAACACGCCCAACTTGATACACTTCTCCTTGTTATCCCTTCTTAGTCTTTCCTCATCTCGCTCTCCTTGTTATCCCTCTTGCTCTTTCCTCCTCCACCTTGGTGGTTAGGGGAAAGTTTACGAAGCATATATGCATACAAGGACTGAAAAAGTCAGTTGCAGTCTTGAAAGAGATGAGACCGCTCGTCAAGACGTTGGTTTCATCACCACACCCTGTTCCTGGATCTAACATCTATTCGACTATACCCCTTACATTTTTTTTTTCAAGTCCAGTGAGGTAACGAGGAGTAATATAGGCCGCTGCCCACTAACGTTGAATCGAATGCATAGGTCAGACGTCAGCTCACAGAGACATTCGTATTGTTCGACGACGTCGCCATCGCTTAGAAATTTAGGGAGCCTCTACGAGAGATCAGCGGACACTTGCCAATTTCTTCGGTCTCCCTGATGCCGGATGCCGTTACGCGGTTCTCCATGGATTCATCCCAATTGTACCTCCATTTTCTCAGCGAATTCACGTGCTCTCTGCACAACGCACCTGAAAAAAAAAGAAACATTCCGAGGCGTAGGCATGAATGACGCGAAGAAGAAAGTGAATTAGTACTTCACAATATCGTGTTCGTGATCATAAGTAAATTTTCTACGCTTTCGCACTTCCCGGGCTGTCGTCGATTGGCGTGACTTATCAGGCGATATCACGCATAAAACTGGAAAACAGAGTAAGCAAACATGAAATAGAAAGAAGTAGCCAAAAAAATAGAACTATATAGGGAAAAAATAGCGACAAAAAAACTGGAATAGGAAAAAAGACAGAAAGGGGGGAAGACAGAAAGAGAAACTTAAAGAAAAACAGATATGGCTGCCCAGCTACTCACTTTTTTCAGGCTTGGCACACCTATAGTGTGAAGCTGTCTCTGTTGTTGTTGTTGTTGTTGTTGTTGTTGTTGTTGTTGTTGTTGTTGTTGTTGTTGTTGTTGTTGTTGTTGTTGTTGTTGTTGTTGTTGTTGTTGTTGTTGTTGTTGTTGTTGTTGTTGTTGTTGTTGTTGTTGTGTGAAGTGGGTGAAGAAACAATTTAATGGTTTTTCGCTTGGCAAACGTATACGCATTCACGCCGTCAATGAAAGCTTTCCTATTTATGAAATTATTTGCCCAGAGTTAACGCGAGAAAAGAGGTGTAGAAAGAATATCGTCCATTCAGCCACGACGCTCCGAGCAAAAGAGCCGTGCGCACGAACCATTGCGAAATAATAATAATAATAATAATAATAATAATAATAATAATAATAATAATAATAATAATAATAATAATAATAATAATAATAATAATAATAATAATAATAATAATAATAAAATAATAATAATAATAATAATAATAATAATAATAACATGTAAGGTTCAACGTCCCAAAACCATGATGCCATCGTACACTTACTTACAGCGCAACACCAGAAAAAATACAGGACAGGGAAGGAGTAAAAGAGAAAGAAAAAAAAGCGCCGTCTTTTCTTTCTCTTTTAATCCTTCCCTGTCCTGTATTTTTTTCTGGTGTTGCGCTGTAAGTAAGTTAACGATGGATCCTAACCAACTGGCCCAACTTACCGTCTTACTCCATGACGCCATTACGAGAGGCGCCGCAGTGGAGGACTCGGGAAGTTTCAGCCACTTAGGATTCCTTGAAGGTGCCCTTATAAATCCAAGCGCACGGGCCTTGCTAAACATTTCGACTTCATCGAAATTGCAACCGCCGCAGAATCGAAATATGAGTGGCCGTGCGTGGCTTCCAGGTATGGGTTGTGAAGTATTAGTTTTTTTTTTTTTTTTGGACAGCGAGGCACGGCTAGGAACAGCCCTATTCTTCATAAGCGACAGGTGGTTGGCGGTCCACTCGTAGGTTGTTTTGCTCAAAACACGCCGCTGCAATTTGGTGGCGTGGTAACGTGGTTTATTTCGCATTTCTTTCAACGCCCCAAAGAAAAAAGAATAATACTGCACGATATGCATGTCGCTGGATTGATTGATTGATTGATTGATTGATTGATTGATTGATTGATATGTGGGGTTTAACGTCCCAAAATCACTATATGATTATGAGAGACGCCGTAGTGGAGGGCTCCGGAAATTTTGACCACCTGGGGTTCTTTAACGTGCATCCAAATCAGAGCACACGGGCCTACAACATTTCCGCCTCCATCGGAAATGCAGCCGCCGCAGCCGGGATTTGAACCCGCGCCCTGCGTGTCAGCAGCCGAGTAACTTAGCCACTAGACCACCGCGGCGGGGCCTGTGGAAAAGACTGGATCAACCGTTTTGGAGTGAACGGGGCTTGTTGCTGAGTTATATAGTCGGTCCGCATACTTGAGAAAAAGACAGACACGGCACAAAGATTATAGGGGGGACTATAAGTGAAGAAGCCCCCCTATCTCTCAGTTCGTTTATTCACTTCGTCTTCGCATACTCTTTCCGTCGTGTCTGTTTTGTTTTTTGTTTTTTGCTCAAGTTTTGGGGTGCCTGACGAATTTCGCTCGGCCCTAAATTTAATTTTGTGTAAGTGACTGAATGTTGTATAAGAAACTTTGAATACTTGATAGCCTTATATTACTTAACTATAATTACGCATAGTAGAAGAGATATATCCTAACCAGTGCAACCTGATGGCAAACCGTATGTCATTAGTTTTATTTAGTTGCCGTTCATTACTTTTTCTTTTTAATTCTTGTTTTGTGTGTGTGCGTGTGTGTGTGTGTGTGTGTGTGTGTGTGTGTGTGTGTGTGTGTGTGTGTGTGTGTGTGTGTGTGTGTGTGTGTGTGTGTGTGTGTGTGTGCGTGCATTAAAACATGTTGTATGTAAGCCTCGTTGCTGAACTTAGACACAGCCAACTGAATCCAACCTATATAATATGGCCAAATGAAGCGTAGGCCAGGTGCCATTGACGCGTAATGGGAAGGATCCGGGTTCGGCTCCCATCTACGGGAACGGTGAGTTTCCGTCCAAAATAATTTATTTCAATTCTTGTAATAATTTTGGATTATTTTTCGAGAGACAAATTATTGGGCGCTATGCTTTTCTTGGTATAATTGTCTGGTGAATTCGCTTCGTTGTATCTAACTGTTAAGCCAACGAACCCTCTGAAAAAGTGCTCCTTGCCTTTATATGCCTCTGCAGGCTATGAGAACAGTGGACTGCATGAACTTGCAAGTCATTACATGCTACGAGGTTCTGGCGTCAAGAAGGCAAAAAAAGAAACAGCTCATGTTTCATACACATTCGCCTAAAAACGGCTCAAAGGCAAAAGCCGTATTTTTCTTCCTACTGAATTCATTCATTCATTCAGTCATTCATTCTATTTATTACAAAAATTAACAAAATATTACATTCTACAAGATTCCCTGGGCTAATAGCTGTAATCAAACATCTTGTCTGTGGCCCAGAAGAGAAATTGCATGGCAAACAAGTGACAGCTGAGAAAATTGATCCTATACCCCGCCCCCCTGTTACAGCTTTCTGCACCTAATACGACTTTACGTATCCTCTAGGATCGGAGGCATTGCAAGGTTTTTACGCTCCACCAGGTTTTGCTCGGCCTCCGTGATTGCCCCCCCCCCGTTTACCAAGCGACGACAGCATGCGATGACATCATCGTGTGAAGTCATGATGACGTAAAAAGAGTTCACAATTTCGGTCGGCCTTCGACGTCACGATGACGCCATTAGGGAGCGCCGTTACGTGGTGATGATTCGATGAATCGCTCGTGTTTGCGTCGACGGTCAATATTCGTGCTTTACAAGACATGTTAGGCATCCGCATTTTAAATAAAACACTCTTACCGGAATTCGCGCGCGAAGCGCTCAAGATCATGCTCTGCAACTCGGGCAGCCGTCGTTCAAACTTCTTGAGATCTTTCTTGCTGGGAAACCGCGTCGTGTGCCTCATGAAGATCATCAAAAGCAGTGGCCTGCAACCTTTGGGGAAAAAAAAAAAGAGAAAACGAAAGGCAGCGAAGAAGTATGCATGTCATTGAACCTGCACCCCCGGACTACTTACAAAAAGTATAAAGCTTTGACGTTAGGACTAAAATCATCTTTACGTGTCTAGAAAGTGAAGAAGCACACGCCACATTTGATCTTTAGCCCAAGAGGTTACTTGGGGACACCGACAACGACTGAAACACTGACACCACAACCGACACCATCCTCAATAAAATATGGCTTCGTTGTATCACGACATCGAATCAGTGCGTCAGACTTAATGCAGCGTGTGAAAATTTTTGGATAGAGTATAATTTAAATGCCGTTTTTTTTTTACGATGGGAAGGATGGGGAAGGGAGGGCGTTTATGCATCGTGTTCGTGAACGT